TGTCAAGTTACAAGACCCTCACACCCCTAACCCTTTAGAAGAAATAAAACCCCAGGGGTGTTCAAACTTGACAGCTTTAAGACTAGTGGACTTCAACTCCCAGAATTCCTCCTCTCGCTCTTCTTCATCTTGATGATGTGCGGACGGGCGGGGGGAGGGAGCTGGAACCGGTTCTAAATGGCACTGTAGATTTGTGGAACCTCTTCTATAGAAGAGGTTAGAACTGGCAGGAACCCACCCCTGGAAAGCACTTGTGCTTTTGACTAAATACAGGACCTTATCATAATCAGGATGTCCTGTACTAGCAAAAATAAAATCAGCTTTGCTAGTTTGAGTGTAGTTTGTCAGCTTTCCTTTCCAATTTGTAGAATATCCTGTAGAATACTAATAATCTATTTGCAGAACACACTGATAGACAGTGGGGTGAGGGAAAAAATATCCATCTAGTTTAGTTCCAAGCTGGGAGAAAGTCACTGGAGAAAAAATGGAGACTGGAGGCTGATTGGAAAGTGGGTTTAATGATGAACAGAACCACCAAGCACATGGTTCTGGGCAGCTGACCACATGGAGTTGAGAGTTGAGGGGTTTTTATGCCTTCTCTTGGGCTTTGCAGTTGAGCTTCCTGTTCCTGTGCTAGAACATGTATTTTGTTGGCCTGTTGTCAGACTCCCATGGGGCCATGTAGGGTTTATGAAAGGGTCATAACTGGCCCTATAAGCAAGGTACAAATCCTAGGTGTTTGTCTCAGCTAAGTTTGGTTGAAGTTTGTTCTGCTGAGAGATGATGCAATGAGGAAGCTTGTATTTTGAAAGGGTGTTGGGCCATTCCTATTATGGATTTGCCCCTGTGTTGGATCTTGAGTGAGGGTATTTGCTTATGAATAGAGATATCTAGTTCTTAATAAGCTCTTTATCTCTTAAGTGCTGACATCTGCTGAGGGCTATTAAGAAAGGTGGGGGTTGCTTTCTGTCTCCAAGAGCATGTTTCTCCATCTTGCTTGTCAGAAGATCGCAAACGGTGATCATATGGCCCCGGGACACTGCAACTGTCATGAGTACATGCCAGTTGCAAAGCACCTAAATGTTGATCACGTGACCATGGGGATACTGCAATGGTCGTGTGAAAAACGGTCATAAGTCACTTTTTTTCAATGTCATTGTAACTTCAAACGCTCACTAAATGAATGGTTGTAAGTTAAGGACTACCTGCAACCCCATGAAAGCGCTGTCTGTGTGTGTGCATGCAAACAATGCAAGTGGCAAATTGTCTCTTTTACATCCTTTGTGCGGTCTTTGTCTCTGGCTCTTGCATTTTCTCCATTTTATACCATGCTGAAGATGGTAGAATTCTTTTGGGTCAGAAATCCACTGGAAAACCATTTGATACGAAAAGGACATCCTGAAGTTCAGTCATTCAAAAGCTCTCGTAGTATAGCAATAGATTCCAGTGAAATGAGTGGATCCAATTTTCATATGTTGTGTTTGGAAAGCACCAGTGGTGGGTTTCAAATTTTTTTAGAACCTCTTCTGTAGGTGTGGCTTGCTTTGTGGGAGTGGCTTGCTGACCATGTGACCAGGTGGGAGTGGCTTGCTGGCCATGTGACCAGGTGGGAGTGGCT